TGAGGCAGAAGTGAACTACTTAGGTGTAGCCAAATCCCTGGAAATGTATGGAGTGGATCTTCATCCTGTTTATGTAGGTATTGTTTAAGCTTAGTAACAGTGAAATAAAATTATTGTACTAATGTGGGAAGCAGTATTTATACAGTTTAGTTTATATATAGTTTAGTTGCCACAGTATAACTTGAAAGGAAACACTGTACTTGAGAAATGCAAAGGAAAATATATGTACAGTTGGAGATGATTCTTACATAGAAAAGCCAAATGTTTTTTGGATATAATACTGTGATTGTATTACACCTAGGAAAACTCAATCAGTTATACTCTGGAGAAGCAATTCAGATAGATAAGAAGTAATTAGTGCAAATGTCAGGAAAAATGTGTGAGGATTATAGCTCTGTCTCTATCAGAAGAATTGGCACATTATTGTTAAAGTAAGAACAAGTGTGTCCTAAAACCTTTTCAATGCCATTGCAAAAACTAGAGTGGGTTAGCAGTAGCATGTCTAGCTTTTTAAAATATTTGTTGTGGAGGTTTTACTAAAGATCCAGAGTATGCTTCCAGTTTTTGCCCTGTTGCATCATGCAGCATTGCAAGTTGTCTGTATTGCCTCATTAAAACCCTCCACTTCTTTTGTATATCAGCATATATGTTAGGATTAGATCCAAGTCATCACCTGGAGGCTATGTGCTCCTGGTGGAAACATCATTCTATCTTGTATGAATAATTGTGCTTGTGGCAGGTTTTTTTTGAATAAAAGAAAATCAGGAGTTCAAATGGGGAGTTGTAATATAGAAAGTTCACTGAGTTAGATGTCAGTACTTTGTAAAATTACTTGAAAGAAAATAAAGAAATCAATTAGATCCAAGTCATCACCTGGAGGCTATGTGCTCCTGGTGGAAACATCATTCTATCTTGTATGAATAATTGTGCTTGTGGCAGGTTTTTTTTGAATAAAAGAAAATCAGGAGTTCAAATGGGGAGTTGTAATATAGAAAGTTCACTGAGTTAGATGTCAGTACTTTGTAAAATTACTTGAAAGAAAATAAAGAAATCAAGATACTATGATTAAGTAT